TCCCCGGGCTAGTGTGGCTCAGTTGATTGGAGCATTTTCCTGTAAATGGAAAGGTTGCAGTTTCAATTCCTGGTCAGGGCACATACCTAGGTTGCGTGTTCAGTCCCCAGTCAGGGTGTTACAGGAAAACAACCAATCGATGTTTCTCTCTCTTTACCCCCTCTTTCCCTCTCTAATTCCCTCCCTCCCTCCCTCCTTCCTGTTTTCTCTAAATATCAATAAACATGCCCTCAAGTGAATCCCATTATTACATTCGTACATTTTCTTGGATTCTAGTTAATTGAGGTTTAGTACCATGAATGACTTATGTACCAATCTTAAGATATGCACCTTATTTTTAAAATGTAACAATATAATACCTCAGATTTTTTTAAAAAGATCATTTTGAAGGCTCCTTCAACTAACCTGGAAGGAAAAAAATGTCATTTACCCTCTGCACTGCATTAATGGACATCAACTAAAATGCATATCAGTTGTTATGCTTTTTTTTTCTTTTGACAGTAATGGTTCATTTATTTTCCTTCTTTATTATTCTTTCCTAGAGAAAATATGGTGATAATGTATTTGTCTAATGTTCCCAATTTTAAAGATATACCAGTACCATATTGAGAAATGCATTTAATTTTTATGCCTAATATAGTCTAGAAGGTTTAGATACATATTTTCAGTTTGTTTATAGTTTGTATTTGTCTTCTAATAGGACAGCTTGCCTCAAATCCTTTTCTTCTACTCCTTGTCATTCCTCCCATTAGAGCCAAAAATTTTCTAGTTCATTTCAAAACAGGGAGAATTATATATAAAAATAGCAAGTACAACATCCTCTATATTTATTTATTTACATTTGCATTTACATTTACATTTATATTATTTATATTTATGATTTATATTGTTATTTATATTGTTACTTATATGATTTATATTGTTATTTATATTATTTATGTTATTTATATGTATATTCATATACACTCTATAACAAAGTACTTTCAAAGATGAGATCTCTTTTTGTTATTTAAAATAATCATGTGAGAGTATCAGACCCTGGAATTTAAGAGGTAGATGAATTGCCTGAAAGCACACAGCTAGAGAGAGAAAGGGCCAGAACCAGAGCTTTGATTGTCCATCCTCTGCTCCTGTGCACTGTCCCCCTTAGCATGGGAAGCCACTTCAGTGTTAGTAAAGCATTTAAGTCTGGACAGATTCCTGTCAGCCAGACATAGGATTAAATCTGGTTCTAACTGTGCAACTTTTGGCAAGTTTGTTCATCTAGAAGAGGAGAATAATATTTCCTGCTTCACCGGGTGTTTATAAAGAGTAATTCAGAAGGTTTAGGCAGAATGCCTGGCATATGGTAAGCACTCAACATGTTATTTTCATTATTATATGATTTCTTTCCGCTTTTTTAGCTTAATGAAGTTTTGCTTTGTCCTCTGGACCAACTAGTTTTCTAGCCTTCAAAGCCTATATCCCTAATCAAGTGCCTTCATTTGGACACTGGAGTCATTGTGTCCTTGACCTTCTGCCTTGGGTTTCTTCCACATCTTCCATAAATGTTAACAGGAAGTCATGATACATTGTATTTTATCTCAAAAGAGCACTCAGAGCTAGTAAGCAATATTTTCTTTCTTTTCTTTCTGACCTGAGTTTGCATGTCCTAGTGTAATCTAAACCTCCTCCTCTTTCACCCTGAAGTCCCTAAGCCCTCTCTTTATTCATCACTTTCAGCAGATGGCCATATACTGTAATTTATTTTTAAAATACTGAGATCATGTGCCCTGAACACTTTAGTGTCCTTGTACTTCATATGATTTCTCATCCTCTCCTCTGTCTCAGATAGAGTGACTTGTCTTATGTTCCAGGGCTCTTGGAAATGCCTCTTTTTGTTCCTTTGGAATATTGCCCCACCAGTTTTGTCTCCCTCATTTGCCCTCTTTGATTTCCCCACCTCTCTAGGCTCAACTACTTTCAGTTCTCCTGACCAGGCCATCTGCTCTCCTGCCTCTATATCTTTGCACAAACCGCTCTGCCATCTAGGAATTCTATTGTCCAGCCTCCTTCCAAGACTCAGCTCTAGCATCACTTCCAGCTTGCTGCCCTTCCTATATATCCCCATAACTGTCTATAAACACATACCTCCAAGTGACTGTGAGCTTCCTAGGGAGAGGCACCATGTCTCTGTATTCACAGCACTACCACACTGCTTGACCCTTAGTAGACACCAATAAATGTTAGTGGAAGAAGGGGAGATCTACAAATAAGCATATGTCTTTTCTACAATTTAAGAATAAACTCCTCTTTACCCTGATATTGCCTTCCTCTTGTCCTTCCTTTAACAAATATTCTACTTCCTCACCACACATTCACTTGCAATTTAGCCTCCAGTACCACTATTGAATCTACTGAAAACTACTCGTGAAGGTCAACAAAGTTTCCATGTGGATCACATCCTCGTTCTTGAGCTTCTCACCTGGCCTGGCTCCTGTGACTATGAAATAATAGGTTTGCTTGATGCCTCACTAAACTTACCTATATTAACTTCTTCACTAGTTTTTCTAATGCAGGTATTCCCCAAGATTTGGTTCATTTGTCTTCTCTTCTTTCACCTTGTCTCTCCGTGAACATACGCTTGGTTTTAACTATCACTTCTATGCAGATAACATGCAAAGTTTGTTTCTAGTCAAACTTGAATTCCAGTTAGTCCCTCAAGACCGAGTCCTGAGTATTCATTTTTTGTAGTGCATAGATGGCAAATACTTGGCACTCATGCTTCCACTTTGCACCATCTCACCCAAGAGGGATACTGTCTCACCCAAGACGAATTGTGCCTATTTTCCGGTGAGGGCAGGCTTCTCCTCAGAATCCTTTCCTTATCCCCTCTGTTGTTTGACACAAATGCTCTGTCTGCTTGGAATCTTCATTCTTCACTTATTCTAGACACCTACGTCCTGGTGAACAGTGTAAAACCTATTAGTCATCCCTATAGTAGAATATTTTCACTCATCTCAAAATCACATCAAACTCAGCATGTTTAAAACCAACTTACTGTATTCCTCGGTCTTCAGCCCAACTTCCTTGTACTGATTGCACTAGTTTTGTAACTTGTTCCACTTTTTCTAAGATGACCACTAATCATCTTTGCCTTCTCCTTTGTATTCCACCAATTTAGGTGTCAATCTTATTTATTCAAGTATGTCTCTCATTCATCCCTTTCTATTCTTAATGCCACCATCTTGGTTGGCCCTTGTTACCTGGTTATGGGCTATAATCATAGTGTGTCATCTGGTCTTCCCATTGCCAGGTTCTCCCTGCTGTAAGCGACCATGCCTCCAGATCAGTCCTCCTAGAGTAAAATTTGGTTTATATGGCTCTCCAGCCCAAATCCCTTTAATGACTTTCTTTTACCTCTTAAATAAAGCCCCAATTTCTATCAGATTTAGTTGAGTATAATTATCTTTGGTTTTTGAGTCAAAAGTATTTGGATTCAGGTTCTGGCTATTATATTTGTAAATGTTATTCTGTGGCTTTGAACTTATTGCTTAATTTTTATTCACTCATTTATTCACCATGTATTTATTTAACACCTACTGTGTTCTAGACTCTTTGCCAGGTATTTGGGATATAGTGATGAGCCAAACAGACCTTGTCCTTACTCTTCTGGACCTTACAACACTGTAGACTTGTCCCTATTTCTTATAATCATAGTAGTCCTAAGTACAGGCCATGCCTCCCTCTCTTGATGCTTTTAGCATTTGATTTGTGCTATGCAAGGTATTATAATGTCATGTATTATAGTTATTTGCACATGTGTGTTATCTCTCAACCACACTGTAGATTCACTGAAGGATAGGAACCATTTCCCATTTCCCATAGTGCAAGCACAGAGCTATGCACATACTAGTTGTTCAGTGAATTCTCTTGTGAGTTTTGTAGACCCAGGGTTAGACTTCAGAATACTTTTAATGCCTAGTATGTTTTTAGGTGCTCCCATTGTCCTGTCAGATTATACATTCAAAAAGGAAATAAATAATGGCTTTTTAGTTTCTACTCATTCTAAAGCCTATTCTTCCAGCCTACTACCTGCTGATAATTATTGTAAGTAGAATTTGCAATGTTTATAACTTGTGTACATTAAGTTTTTAAAAACTGAATTACAAATCCACTCTGCTTTCTAGAAAATATTGTTCATGTGCATAAAACTGAATGTTAAAGTAATGTTCTTTTTACTGAATAGCTTTTGACTTGGTAATATACAGTATGCTATTTTTCCATGTGAAATAATTGTAGGACTTTAGTCCTGAAGATTAATTTTATTTTACACATTTTTAGCTTACTGTTTTTATGTTCCCATGATCTTACATTAAGTTAAGCATTTGTCTATCCAAAACAATAGGTCAACTATAGCTAAATTATAACCATACCTTTCATCTGCACACAAAATCCTATTATAAACAGCATGTGATCATTTGCTTTTAGAATTTTTATTGTTTTCTTCCAAAAGGAAGCTAAATTTAGCCTGGTAATTCTACATGCTCCCAAGAGAACAATGCCTGCTGTGATTTCTAGAATAAATGAATCTGAACCACAATCCTTTACTTGACTGAGAAATTTTGAATATCAACCTAGTCATTAACCACGGATATTAAACCATATTAAACAACCAGCAAGGGGTTAAGAAAGAAATTTGCTATGTTTCTGACTTCATTGCTGAATGAGTCTAACTTAGTCCCTTTATCATCCTTAATACAGAACATTGTTTGCATCTCGTAATGGTTCTCTAAAATTACTCATTCTGGCTTGAGTTCTAAAATTAAACTATGTGGAGTCATGTCCAACAGCACAATGCATCTTTATGTGAAACCAGCTAGAGTTTTTGTTTTCACTCTATATAAAGTTTTCAGCAAGGAAACTTTGTTTCTAATAGTTTAACTGTTAATAGTTATTTCCATTTCTTTTTTCTTTCTAATGACAACTAAATTGCTCTCGCCTGAAACGTGTTTTGGCAGATAAACTTCTCACCATGAAGGCCCCTGCTGTACTTACACTTGGCATCCTTGTGCTTCTGTTTATCTTGGTGCAGAAGAGTGATGGGGAGTGCAAGGAGGCACGAGTAAAGTCTGAGATGAATGTGAACATGGAGTATCAGCTTCCCAACTTCACTGCAGAAACGCCCATCCAGAATGTCGTTCTACACAAGCATCATATTTACGTCGGTGCCATTAACTACATTTACGTTTTAAATGACAAAGACCTTCAAAAGGTTGCTGAGTACAAGACTGGGCCCATGCTGGAACACCCAGATTGTTTCCCATGTCAAGACTGCAGCCAAAAAGCCAATCTTTCTGGTGGCATTTGGAAAGATAACATCAACATGGCTCTGCTTGTTGACACGTACTATGATGATCAACTCATTAGCTGTGGCAGCATTCGCAGAGGGACCTGCCAGCGACATGTCCTCCCTCCCTACAATACTGCTGACATACAGTCCGAGGTACATTGCATGTACTCCCCACAGGCAGATGAAAAACCCAGTCAGTGTCCTGACTGTGTGGTGAGTGCCCTGGGAACCAAGGTCCTGATTTCTGAAAAGTACCGGTTCATCAACTTCTTCGTGGGCAATACCATAAATTCTTCTTACCTTCCAGATTATTCATTGCATTCAATATCTGTGAGAAGGTTAAAGGAAACACTAGATGGTTTTAAGTTTTTGACAGACCAGTCCTATATTGATGTTTTACCTGAATTCCGAGATTCTTATCCCATTAAGTATGTTCACGCCTTTGAAAGCAACCATTTTATTTACTTCTTGACAGTCCAGCGGGAGACTCTCAGTGCTCAGTCTTTTCACACAAGAATAATCAGGTTCTGTTCCGAAGACTCTGGATTGCATTCCTACATGGAAATGCCCCTGGAGTGTATTCTAACGGAAAAGAGAAGAAAGAGATCCCCAAGGGAGGAAGTGTTTAATATTCTCCAGGCTGCCTATGTCAGTAAGCCTGGGGCCCATCTCGCTAGGCAGATAGGTGCCAACCTGAAGGACGACGTTCTCTTTGGAGTGTTTGCACAAAGTAAGCCAGATTCTGCGGAACCAATGAATCGCTCTGCCGTCTGTGCATTCCCTATCAAGTATGTCAATGAATTCTTCAACAAGATCGTCAACAAAAACAATGTGAGATGTCTCCAGCATTTTTACGGACCCAATCATGAACACTGTTTTAATAGGGTAAGTCACACAGATTCCCCACTTACAAATTATGAGGTATAAATCAGAATAGGTATCAGTCGAGAAAAGAACACCAACAGCTTTTTGGTGCTTTGTAAATGGTCTTAATCTAAAATATTTGCATATTCTTCCCAAGAAAATTTAGAAATTGAATCTTCACTTAAAAGTAAAATCACAGCTTGAGAAAAACTTAATATGATAACTTAAAAAAATAATAATATATTTTTACAATTTGGATTTGCACATTTGCCAACACTTCAGATTATTAAACTTATTTCTCCCATAAGCTTTAGTAGTTCTGGTCAGATTCACACAAAGTTTACCACAACAGCAGTTTCTGTAAAACACAATTATTAATATCCCAATAGAGTCTTTACAACATTGAAAATTCCACACTCAAGTTAATTTGTGGGTTTTAAAGGCTTTTTCCTTATGATGCACCATTTGCCCACTAATATGCAAATGAATGGTCTATATTTTTGGCATTACTTAAAGAAACAACTAAAAACAAAACAACAAAAAAATATCTTCCAAAATGCTGGTAAATAAGACATCTTTAAATGAGCTAATAGACTTCTCTAAATAACTTAGAAAGCTAGAGAGGAAATTTTTGCTCCCAGAATCCTTCCTTTGTTTTTTTAAATACACATAAACAAACACATTTATTTGTTTTAAACATTACTTTCACTAGTATGAATGTAAGTTTCCTTTATTGTTAATGTTTTTAAACAAGCTTCTGAGATGCCATTTTTGCATGTGTCCTTCTGAGAAAAGAGTTTAGGATCAGTATTGAATCATATTACCCCCACAAAAGTGCCCTGAGAATGTTCATGATTAGGTCTCCTGGAATAGATAATTTCCATTTCCATTCTTTTTTCTTTAATTTTTTAATTTATTTTTCAATTAGAGTTGACATATTATTATATTGCTTTCTGGTGTACACCCCAGTAATTAGACTTTACGTAACCTACTAAGTGATCATCCCAATAAATCTCACACCCATTGGACCCCATACATACTTATTAAGAATATTATTGACTATATTCCCAGTGCTGTACTTTACATCCCCATGACTATTCTGTAACAACCAATTTGTACTTCTTAATCCCTTTACCTTTTTCACCCATCCTCCTAACCCCTCTCCCATCTGGCAACCGTCAAAATTTTCTCTGTATCTATGAGTCTGTTTCTGTTCTGCTTGTTCATTTATTTTGTTTTTTTCAGATTCAGTTGTTGATACATATGTATTTATTGTCATTTTGTTGTCCATATTTTTATCTTTTTTCTTCTTCTTCTTAAAGAAGACCCTTTAACATTTCATGTAGTACTGATTTGGTGGTGATGAAGTCCTTCAGCTTTTTCTTATCTGGGAAGCTCTTTATTTGTCCTTTGATTCTAAATGATAGCTTTGTGGGTAGAGTAATCTTGGTTGTAGGTCGTTTTTCTCACTTTGAATATTTCTTGCCACTCCCTTCTGGCCTATAAAGTTTCTGTTGAGAAATCAGCTGATGGTAGGGGAGCTCCCTTTTAGAGAACTGCTTTTCTTTTTCTGCTTTTAAGATCCTCTCTTTGTCTTTAACTTTTGGTATTTTGATTATGATGTGTCTTGGTGTGGGCCTCTTTGGGTTCATTTTGTTTGGGACTCTCTGCATTTCGTGGACTTCACCAAGTTAGGGAAGTTTTCTGTCATTTTTTTTCAAATAGGTTTTCAATTTCTTGCACTCTCTCTCTTCTGGCATCCCCATTATGCAAATGTTGGTATGCTTGAAGTTGTCCCAGAGGCTTCTTATTCTATCCTCATTTTTTTGGATTCTTTTTTCTTTTGGCTGTTCTGATTGGATGTTTTTTGCTTCCTTATATTCCAAATCACTGATTTGAGTCTTGGCTTTATCTACTCTACTATTGATTCCCTGTAAATTATTCTTCATTTCAGTTAGTATATCCTTCATTTCTGATTGGTTCTCTTTTATGCTGTTGAAGTTCTCACTAAGTTCATTGAGCATCCTTACAACCAGTGTTTTGAACTCTGCATTTAGTAGATTGTTTGTCTCCATTTTGTTTAATTCTTTTTCTGTAGTTTTGTTTTGTTCTTTCATTTGGTACATGTTCCTTTGTCTCTCATTTTGGCAGGCCCCCTATGTTTGTTTCTATGTATTAAGTGGAACTGCCACATCTCCACAGTCTTTTAGAGTGGCCTAATGTAGTAGGTGTTGGTAGGGCCCTGTGGCACAGCCTCCATTGTCATCCAAGCTGGGTACTCAAGGTGTGCCCACTGTGTGGGCTATGAATACCCTCTTGTAGTTGAGCTTTGATTGCTATTGGCATGTCAGTGGGAGGGATTTACCCCCAAGCCGGTCAGCGGCAAGGACTGGCTGCAGTAGCCAATGACCAACTTCTGACTACCATGGAGAATCAGCTGTGCAGGAACCTTCCCCACAGAACAGGGCTCTGGTTCCATTTGGGTCCATCCCTTGAGTGTATCACTTGTGGAGGTGGTTGGGTGATGCTTTAATGTGGTCTGAAACTGTCCACTGGGTATACTTTCCCTGGGGCCTCCAGGGAGGTGCAGGCCAAGGTCAGTCACACCTGTCTTCTTTCTGGGGCCACCTGACATGAGCTACAATGTGATCTGCAGGTGGCTGCTAATTGTGCTGGACTTGGAGGTGCCCAGGTGAGGCCAAGCTTCAAAATCATGTCCAGCTGCTGCTAGTGCCAGGCCTGGGGCTACTTAGTGAGAGAGGTACAGGACACANTCTTTTATGCTGTTGAAGTTCTCACTAAGTTCATTGAGCATCCTTACAACCAGTGTTTTGAACTCTGCATTTAGTAGATTGTTTGTCTCCATTTTGTTTAATTCTTTTTCTGTAGTTTTGTTTTGTTCTTTCATTTGGTACATGTTCCTTTGTCTCTCATTTTGGCAGGCCCCCTATGTTTGTTTCTATGTATTAAGTGGAACTGCCACATCTCCACAGTCTTTTAGAGTGGCCTAATGTAGTAGGTGTTGGTAGGGCCCTGTGGCACAGCCTCCATTGTCATCCAAGCTGGGTACTCAAGGTGTGCCCACTGTGTGGGCTATGAATACCCTCTTGTAGTTGAGCTTTGATTGCTATTGGCATGTCAGTGGGAGGGATTTACCCCCAAGCCGGTCAGCGGCAAGGACTGGCTGCAGTAGCCAATGACCAACTTCTGACTACCATGGAGAATCAGCTGTGCAGGAACCTTCCCCACAGAACAGGGCTCTGGTTCCATTTGGGTCCATCCCTTGAGTGTATCACTTGTGGAGGTGGTTGGGTGATGCTTTAATGTGGTCTGAAACTGTCCACTGGGTATACTTTCCCTGGGGCCTCCAGGGAGGTGCAGGCCAAGGTCAGTCACACCTGTCTTCTTTCTGGGGCCACCTGACATGAGCTACAATGTGATCTGCAGGTGGCTGCTAATTGTGCTGGACTTGGAGGTGCCCAGGTGAGGCCAAGCTTCAAAATCATGTCCAGCTGCTGCTAGTGCCAGGCCTGGGGCTACTTAATGAGAGAGGTACAGGACACACTGAGGCCAGATGCTGCTGCTTTGAGAGATTTTAGGAAAATCTGAAGCATGAGCCAAGACAGGCCAATCATATGGAAAAGCCATGGGAAACTGCTTAGGTGGGCCCCAAAGTTAGATGGGGCTGGGTCTCAGGGAATCACCAGGGCAGGAGAAACAGTATGAGCCAGGTTGATGGAATCTCAGATATGGAGGCTGTCTGCTGGCTCTGCAGGAGGAGGGCTCATCAAAGGAACAGTGGCCTCTGCCAGCACTACTGTCTGGGAAAAACTGCCCCCCCACCCCCCAGCCCTTGCCCTGATGCTGGACTCCCTGTTTGTCTCTAGTGCCTTTCAAGCTTCTTCCCCAGCACTGGAGCTCAGAGGGAGTTAGTCCTAGTAAGCCTGTGCACAGGCCCTTTAAGAGGAACTGCCTACAGCCCTCTATCTCCCTCAGCCTCAATCCCCACTGGTATTTTACAGCCAGAAGTTACGGGGGCTTCTCTTCCTGGCACTGTACCCTGGGATGGGAGGCCTGGTGTGGAGCTGTGACCCCTCTCTCCTCAGAAGGGGACCTCTGCAGCTGAGATATCCCTCCTGATTTTTGTCCACCACATGTGAGTGTGGGACCAGCTTGTTCTACGTCTCTGCCCCTCCTCCCAGTCTCCATGTGGCTTAATCCCCTAGTTATAGCATTTTCATTCAGTCGGGTTTCAGGCAGTTCTGAATGATGACTGTTAAGTAGTTTAGTTGTAATTTTGATGTGGTTGTGGAAGGAGGCAAGTACCACGTTTACCTATGCCATCATTTTGACTGGAAGTCCCTCCTTTAGATCTTGACATCCGTCATAGAATTCCTACTTGAATAGACACTGGTTTACCAAGTTCTGGTTCTAGTTTTATCTGGTTGGTATTTGATATTTATAAATATAAATATTTTTGACAGATGATTGCTTGTACTTATATGAAATCATATTTTCACAGGAAGTGTTAGGGAAATTGTTACTTTGATTCAGATATATCAGGGAATTTATCCTGCTAGTCATCAGATCATTTGGTGCCATAAAAAGAGCATCAGATTGGGAGTCCATTAGGACCTTAGGCTTTTTTGGTTTGTACCCAGATTTGAACATGTGGACCTGGCTATGCCTCTTAACATAATAACCACTGGTTATCATAATTGAAAAACAAATAGTAAGATTTTCTCAAGACAATTTGACGTTAGAAAAGTACATTTTACTCTAACAGTTTTCAGACTAAGTAATAAAGGTTATAATTTCAAGCAGGAAGAACATTAAACATGTCCTTCGTGGAAGGAAGTATGTAATTTGCTGAGGAGTACCAACTGCATATGAATTCAGGAACATTTGGCTCACTTTTGCTGAAATGTCTGGGATACTTTCCCAGATAGGAACTCCAAGTAATTTTTTTTATAAAGCTAGAAACTTCTGAAACAAGGAATTCATCTTTTGGTGAACTACAG